CGAACTTGAGAAGTGAGCTTGGCCGATGCTGACTTGAAGGCGCGTCCAGGTTAGGGGGGTTACGACGCGCCCAAAAAAATGGGTTTGATTTTTTTTCCAAGGAAGCAAGTGACATCTATGGACCATCTATGGACCGTATTTTGCATAAGACGTGAGCAAAGCAGGCGGTGACTGACCCGCGTGCTACAAGCTGCATCTAAACCACCGGCTCTTTGCTGATGAGACAGCAGCAGATGCAAGTGGCCGCCGACTTGCTCAGCCTCAGGAAAAACTTTTGAGCGTCCGGTCTGGGCAAGTGCCGTCGAACATTTCCTGGACGACATCGGTGGGTCAAAGGGAATTACCTTGACGTCAGATTGAACCATTTGGCTGAAAAGGTCCTGATTTGTGGCACATATGTTCTGTTTTTCTCTGTTCAGGCAGTATTTTGAGTCGGTTGGGTCCAAAAGCCTAGAAGTATTGAGATAAACCATCTTAGCTTGTTCAGTGAATCCTTGTGGCCAGTTTGGATCCGGTCGCCAGTATTCCTTCAGTTGCCGTTTGCTGAAAGAATGCCGGTTTGGCAAGGAGTCACCTTCAAAGGGAGAATATAGTCGTCGGGGTGGCCCGGTTTGGTATCACAGAAAGGGTTACTTTCCACAATCATGAGCGTGGCTATTTGCAGACACGCACACACACTTAATTTTACAACCTACTGACATGACATAGCTGCACTCTGAGTGATATGACAAAAGATGCCTTGAGGAGAGGTTTCCCGGTGAAAGTCTATCTTCGCCCGAATGGCCGTACAATCGAGGCGCTCAATGAGATCTTGCCAGTCAAATTTAAAGGACATGCGCAGGAAAGAAGCAATGGTTCGCAAGACTTGACCAGGCTGGATGAATGAGGATCCAGGGGGTACACCTTTTGAGATTCTCTGCACTTTTGCCGCGGTGCTCCTGCCAAGACCAAAGACTCGCAGTCTCAACTGGGTGTTTATATGGTTGCGCATTCCTGGTGCTCAGGCAAGAATCCATTTGAGCCCCAAAGACGTGAGGGTCATGAATTGCAAATTAGAAGCTTCAGCCCAATCATGATATCACAGAGCCCACCCGATTGCAATGAAGAAATCTTCGTTGGAACATGTTGGAACGATCCTTGGTATTCCTGGCGTGCCACAACCTCCACGGAGGATTGCCACTTGTTGATGTTTCCAGGAGGTCTAGTGCGATTGGAGTAACCCATGGCAAAGATTAGCATGCCGATGCTCGGTACCATCATGTGAGCAAGTGACAAAATGGGGACTTCTCTAAACCAACCCTAAACCAGACTGAGCCAACCCAAAAACGACCATAACCCACCCTAAGTCCAGTGCAACTCAGTTGCAGCACCAAAGCAAAACAAGCATAGACTCGAAATAACCTGCCCCCAAGTGTCCTCGCGTACCTTCCTTCTTGCTGGAATCAAAAGGAGAAACCAAATTGAAGTGAACTGTGTTGAAGGGTCCCCATTCTGAGATGTACCCACTTGATCTTCTCAGGATAGAAGAGCTGCCAGAAGACCTTGCCCTTTTCACGCACGAAAAGCCTTCGTTTAGGCACAAGCCTTGGGTTGTTGAAGTGGCAGGGGCGGTGCGAGTCGCGGCAGAGGATGCAAAGGACATGACAAACAGACAAGCAAACAAACAAACAACCAAACAATCAAACAAACAAAAACAATCAACTAGATAAATACACAAACAAACAAGCAAATAAGCAACGCAAAAAACAGAAAAATTAAAGAAACCAAACAAACAAACAATCAAACAAACAAACAAGCAATCAATCAAACAAACAAACAAACAAGCAAACAAAAACAAACTATCTAACCAACTAACTAATAAACACACAAACCAACAAGCAAGCAACAAGCACACACACACACACAAACACACCACCAAACGCACACACACACACAAGCACACACGCACACACGCACACACCCGCGCACGCACGCACACACCCGCGCACGCACGCACGCACGCGCCCGCCCGCCCTCCCGCCCGCCCGCCCGGCCGCCCGCCCGCCCGCTTTCAACCCCGCGCGCGCACCTGCGCACAGTTGCACGGGCACGCACGCGCACACGCACGCACACATGCAAACGCACACCACCCCACGCACAGACTTGCAGAGACACACACAGACACACAGACTCACACAGAGACGCGCACACACACACAGGCACAGACACACAGACACAGTTACAGACAGACACGCACAAACACAGACACAGACACACAGACACACAGACACACACACACACACAGACACACAGACACACAGACACCCAGACACACAGACACACAGACACACAGACACACAGACACACAGACACACAGACACACAGACACACAGACACACAGACACACAGACAGACACGCAGACACGCAGACACGCAGACACGCAGACACGCAGACACGCAGACACGCAGACACGCAGACACGCAGACACGCAGACACCCAGACACACAGACACACAGACACATAGACACACAGACACAAAGACACACAGGCACAAACACACACAGACACACAAACACACACACACACACACACACGTAGCAGTACAATGTTGGTAAAGACTCTCTGAGTTTCCTTTGAATCAACCTGAACAACGCACCATCTTCCTGAGAGGCTCGTGAGACGGCCTCTCGTTCCGTCAAGGAACGTGTTTGCATCCTTTGCCAGCAATTAAGCGCCTGGCATGCTGATCGGGCCTGTTTTCAAGTTGCAGCAGCTCTTGTTTGATGCTTTCCTTCTCATGATGCATTTGCCTGATGCCCACAGCTTGTCGATGGCTTTTTCAAGTACATCGTAACATCTCCCGTAGGTTTGAGATGTTAACTTATGCCTTCCGCAACAATCCGATTGCCATAGATTCAGCCCGCGACAGCGACTGGAGCCATCGGACTGTTGCTCCCTTGCGCTAGACGTCCGCACTTGTGGAAAAGTAAATGTTTGGGTGCTGAAGGCGACCAAATTCGACCGCCCTGGGGGCCGCGCAACGCGCGGCTCCCTGCAATGACTTTCTGTTTCGGATGGATTTCCCATGCCCCACTTATTTCCCCAAGTTGGATCAAGTTGGAAGATGTTTTCCTCTTGCGTCACCTGGCCTGACTTAAGAGATGACCTTTTTCCTTTTGGCAGCATGGCTGGACACGTGTACAGCTTCATCCATCACCAGGTGAGATGCTTGTTGCAGACAGTTGCTCCACTGGGTCGATTAGATCTCTCTGTATGCTGACTCCCAATTAGAGGCTCGGGTGCGAATTCCTCAAAAGGGGATGGTCAAAGTGCTGCTTCAGAGTTTGGATCCGTCAGTTGCCTGGCTGCTTACGTTCTATCATGTTGCCGGCAAACCACCTTGTGATTGGGGGGGAGGGGAGGTCAAACAGAAAAGGGCCCCTTTATTGACTTGAGTGAAGGGTACCAAAAAGGGCCCCTAGTTTTGACAACCCTCCATTTGTGCCGACCTTGGTGACCTCGCTTCAAGCCAACTGTTGGTATTTGGCCTCAGCCTGGCTCGGAAATCCCAGGAGCCTCGATTGGCAGCACACGAAGCCAGTCTCCACAAAAGGCCGCGCGACTGAGTGGGCAGCCAAAAGGCTTTTAAAGGATCAAAGCTCACTTGCCGAAACGTTCATGTCGATTTTATATCTATGGGTCAAAACCAATGGTACCATTCGGGGGTAGGTACACCACCCATTTTTAGTCCATTGTAGTAGATTGGGATGTTCAGTGGGGGTACGGGCTTTTGACCCATGGCCATATATTTTGGTGGCCACACCCTTAGTATCTCAAACTCTCACAAGGCTGAGGTGTGAATCCGCAGCACAAACCCGACCAAAGCCGGCCCCAAGCCTTTCTTTCACATGAGCTTTAAATAGGAACCCACCTTCAAAGTGTTTGGACAAGACCCACCGTACCAGAGCATCCGAGACAAAGAATCAGAAAACACCACCCAGATTGCCGTAGCCATAGGTGTCACTCAGATTGGGAGCTGAGGCAGGGTTCCTGTCTCTTGGTTGCCAGGCATCCGGTTCCTCAGCTTGTTGGTTGGTTTGGTTGGGTTTCCGAATTTCACTCAAAGTTGGGGACCAGCCCGGTTCCGTGAGCCCTCCTTTGATCAACTTGGGTCGATGTAGCGCTCCGTTTGCAACGTCGTGGGGATGGGGATTCCACTTTGGCATAAGGATTACTTTCCACTCTGATCTTCAAAGATGACGTTCACTGTTGTTTGGAGGCACCTATTGTCCGATTTCGCTCTTCAGATCCCCAACAAACATGATCAACCAGAAGAAGGGTCCTTCTTTGTCTACGAGGTCACTGAGCAACAGGGTTGTGAACCTTAAACACAACGCGGGAGAATGCAGCCTTGGTAGCTTCCCAACACGTAAGAGGGAACCTGACTGAATCCATAAATTTGGGACCGCTTTCCACTTCGTGTGAGTTCTCCTGCTCGCAAGCTTCTCATGTTTCCTGTTGCACTCGGTCAACTTCGGCTGGGAGTTGTGGCTGAGTGGATAATGTGTGGCTGATGCGAGATGCGCTCGGGTGAAATACCCCGGACCTGCGGCCATGTTCGGCCAGTGGTAGTTGTGGAGAGTTGTGCGTTGCGTGATGGCAGTTTTGTATATACGTGTATAATATATACATATATATATATATATGTATGTGTTTGCTGTTGTGCGTGTTTGCCCTCTTGTTTGTTTGTGTGGGTGTGTTTGTTTGCTTGCTTGCTTGCTTGCTTGCTTGCTTGCTTGCTTGCTTGCTTGCTTGCTTGCTTGCTTGCTTGCTTGCTTGCTTGCTTGCTTGCTTGCTTTCTTTTTGTTTTGTTTTGTTTCTTTTTTCTTTCTTTCTTTCTTTCTTTCTTTATTTTACTGTTTCTTTGTTTTCTATTGATTTATTTGTGTGTTTGTTGTCTGTGTGTGTGTGAAACTGTGTGTGTGTGTGTGTTTCTCTCTAATTCTTTGTTTGTTTACGCATGTCTTTGTATCTTCCGTGTTTGCGTGTGTTTTTTTTCCTTCTTATGTCGGGGTTGTGACAGCTGGACCTTTGAAAGGGGCTTCCTGATTCGCTCCTTATGGCGGCTTTCAGGTTGGGCGGGCAGGGGGCCTTGGCTTTTGCCTCTCAATGACCATGCGTTCTGCATATGGCGAGCTGGGTTTGAGGCGAGCTCGCAGTGGAAGTCCGCTCCTTGAAAATTCAACTCCTTTTTCAGTTTTTTTGGTAAAACAGCATAGATATTAGATTTACTGCTGTTGAGTTGGATCTTTTAGTTTGAACTTATTGGGACCATAGGTGTCTTTTTTGGGTGGTTAGGTAGAAATCGATTGCCCTGGTCTACGTGGTGCAATCATCTTCAGGGTCATCTATTTTCCACCTCACCGACCAACAAGGACACCTATGATGGGAACCTTATTGTAAACTTGGCAGACCTGGCAGCTGGCTTGACAGCTGCCTGCCTCATATTATACATGTTTGCTGACATGCAATCATGCATGTGTGTTCACGCAATATCATACAAACATCATGCCCATTTTTCTACAGTGTTGGATGCAGGAACACGCCTGTGCGGATCGCGTCAGCCGCTTTTGCCGTTTCTTCCAGAGCCGACGACGGGATTGGCTGAATATCCTGAGCTCAGCAGGTTCTCCCCCGCAGGTAGAAGAAACTGGGGCCACATTGGACATGAGTATCCTGATTTAGAGCCAGAGGTAGAAGAGGGGAGGCATCGCTGATAGCGACTACTAGTGACTTTTGTCGTGCACCCCTTACCCTCTCACCAATTGACATGGAACTTGACAGCAAGCCAAATTTTCCACACGGAAACCAGAGGGCCGTACGGGGAGTTGTGTGCCAGGAAAGAAGTCACTGGCCGGATGACAAGTACGGGTGTCCAAACGCGCTTTGTTCAAAATTTGGTGGCATGCCCAAGAGGCTTAATCTTGTTTTGGTTTAAACATGAGGGGCGGCGCATCATCCTATGATCATGACTTGGTTTGATCTTCAAGTGCCCCACAGCCCCATTGAAATTGGCCTTTGGGGGAGTGCTGGCTTGAGCCGGGACGTGCGTGGCGCGCGCGGAACCCAGAAAGACAAGCCGATGGGGATGCATCGATCTCAGCTCGGTCAATCCGAGGGGCGAGGCAAGATGCAAAAGTCTGGAGGGCTTGACCCAGTTTAGCACCCGTTGCCTCGCTGAACAATCCATGCTCTGCACTTCCATTTGCTGAAATGAGTATTTGTTGCTATTTTCCCTTGTTGATTTTAAGGGAATCTATCACTGAACATATTTTCTTTTTTCCCCGTGGGCGGTTGGTGAACATGACTCCAAGAACGAATCGCCAGAGGGTTCCGAATTCTAATTCACGGCCAAAGCACTTGTTTATGTTATTCACAAGGAAGCCAAATGAGCATGGGCCAAATTCAACACCCACAAGGTCGACGAAAAATGGCGGGCCCTGGTGCTAGTGTCCTGCAAAGGGCCCCTTCTTTTTGGACCCCAGTGTTCGGTCCCAGCAATTTCAGGCTTGGGCCATGGTTTGTGAGTCTTGCTGGATTGCTGATATGTTTGTTTGCGGGGGCCAGAAATAAGTAGCACAAATGCACGAGCAGATTCCGCGCCGTTTGTTTGGCTTCCAGAGTTCCCTCAACCAGAAACGAGGGCCCTTGTTCAACTCTGTAGAATTAGGTTTACCCTCAATTGGTGGTTTGGATTGGTTTGGATTTCGATTTGACCCCCTCGTTCTTGTAGGTAGAAAGGAAGCCACCACTCCAAACCTCCAAACCCAATCCAAAACACCAATTCGAGTGAAGCTGATGAGAAGGGGATAGGTCACGGCAGCGCGGGTGTCTTGCTTAGGGGCCAAACCCAGCTGGTGACGACAACCCGAGAGCGTGAGCGAGCGGCAAAGGCGCAAAGGCGCAAATCTTTGCGCGGAACGGAGACGGTTCCCAGAGGAAGAAAGCGAGTATGTTTATATATATATATATACACATGCACATACATGTTTATACATGTTAATTAGTATATAGATACTCACAATGCTCAGGATGAGTAGATGATAGATGGAATACACTGGTTGTTGAAGATATAGGATGTTGAAGACAATGTGAGCGCCATTGGCTTCAACCTCAAATTCATTGGCAAGGCTAAGGCTTTGGCTCCTTCACCGAGGAGCATCCCCCAGGACTGGGTTCTCGGATGGGTCGGGCCACGGTGTTCGATGCGAGGCGCAGATCGTAAAGAAAGTTCCCTAAATATCTTTTGGGGGAATACTGAGCCTTCCACTTGATGAAATGAATATGTTTGCTATTTTCCCTTGTTGGTTTTTAAGGGAATCTACCACTACTGGAGAATTCCAATATTTTTTCCAGAAGACTTAAGCACAAAGCCTTCCACACAGGTGGATTCCAGGCAGCCTGGATTCCTGACATCGACCTAATCTGTTCCGAAAGGCTCAAGGTTGGATGTCGCGGAT